AAATCCTGTCTCATAGTATTATAAACCACTGTTTCATTAACAAAGATCCCGCCAATGAATGTATGGAATCGAAAGGTTTATTGCACATAATGGATAAATGTAAACTGGTGTGGTGTACTGTAGGAGGGATGAATTGATTGGGAAAGGGTTGAGGGATGAAGGGATGAAAGGATAAGGGGATGAGAGTCAAGGGATGAGGGGTAGGGGTCCAGGGTTGAGGGCTGAAGGGATGAAAAGATGAAGGTTTCAGGGGTGAAGGGAAGAGGGGATGAGGGTTGAGGGATTAAGGTTTCCCAAACCTATAGTTATAAAACTTCATGCTTTGTTTTGGCATCTGATAAGTCTTCAAACTCATAGATCAGCTATTCAAACTGGACCTCCTCTCAACTCTGCTACAATTCAGAAATAAATATTGTACTTTTTACTTTATTTTGATACCTTGTGGTGACTTAGCCCCAGTCTGTTACATACCACTGATGCATTACGACATTCAAGTCACAGTCAATCACAGAGCTAAATTTCAGATTTTATTTTAAGTATCTATTTAAGTATCTATTTTAGTATCCTCAAACACTCTCACCTTCCACCATCTTGGTTTTTCAAAAACTGGCAGACTGTGACTTGAATTTAATGGTAATACATTAGAAGCTCAAACTGGTGCTAGTGGTGACTCTGTATCACTGTTGGAATCCATTGTAACTGACTTCAAGAAGGGAGTACGATTTCAGACGCCTTTCAGGACTACAGAGCTGAAAATTTCATACGTAAAACTTCAAGAAAGTATAACTTTAAATACATCTGATTTGTGGACATCTGCTATTGACATTCATTGACCCATCTGTACTAACCCTTCTCTCCTGTCCTACATAATGTCTGCTGGTTAGATGTCCTCCACGTCCACCTCGACAAATTCCTGGTACACATTTTGTCCTTTCCAGATGCTGGACTGTCTGCCAGGAGATCATCTGGGGTTAATTTCACCTTTTTCAGACTGCACCATTTATTTTATTTTAATGCACTAACCCAGCTGAGTATTAATGTAACAGCTTTAATAAAAAGGAAGTAAAGGCAAGCCCACAGTAGATTAAGATGATATGAGGCTTTATTTTACCCACAGTCTGACTTGGGTTAAAAAGGTTCACACCCCCAGACCGCATTAAGCCTTGTCTACGTGCAGTGTGAAAATGGTTATGATTCAATTATTTAAACAAAGAAATGTGGATTCTAATCATGGGTCTGATCATCTTATAATAACATTCTCCAAATGGTAAATTTGTTAAACAATCACATTTATGGGAATTGAATTGATTGATTTTTCACACGATCATCTTTATTATTATCGTCGTTATTCTTACTGATTAAACATTTTGATTCTTTCTCTGACAGTGTTAAGACTAAATTATGATTCTGATCCCAATCCTGATCCTGGTTTTGGTTTTAATTCTTGATTTCTTTCCAGGGCGACTATGTCTGGTTGGACCTGAAGACCGGTCGGGAGTTTGAGGTGCCGGTTGGTGCAGTGGTCAAACTCTGTGACTCAGGACAGATCCAGGTGTTGGACGATGAAGGAAATGTGAGTGCTGACTCAAGACTCTTGGAACCATAGTGCTATCTAGCGAACCAGCCTG